CACATTTTTTTTTCCAGACACTACTGTACAGTAGCAACGAGACACTGTGCAGTAGCTTGTTACTACTGCTCGGTAGCGTCACATCATGGTTAGTGTCTGCCAATGCTACTGCAGAGTAGCATCTCATGTAGACATGCTCACTTGGTCCGAATCAAATTCTTCTTAGGATACAAGCAGAAAAGATGTTTTCCTGGCTGTTATCTTTGCAGTCCCAATCTAGAATATGAAAGTCAAACTGGGCTCTTTCTTGCTTGTGCATAAATGCCAGTAACAGATTATATAGACCAGATTTTGATATGCCTTATTTCTATAATATTTTGGGAGAATCTCTCTCCTACATACATAACTACCTGGATTCAGTTACACCTCTGCACCCATGCATTTTTTTCCAATTAGCCTGCACAGGTTTATAAAAGACAACTCTGAGTTTGGAAAACAGGCAATCATTTTGTTAAGACATGTTCCAGAACAAGATCTGGATGGTTAAGTTACAGGTGCCCTGGCAGAACACATGAGAACCACAGGATGGAATAATGGAAATGTTTAGGGCAGAACTGAGCTGCAGGGTAGAGGTGAGTAGAAGAAGCCTACAAATGTCTGTTCTCATGTGTCTCTGCTAATCAGTACAGTTAAACCATTACCCTTCTTTCTTGAGACTGTAATGTTTCAGAAGAGAAGGAGAGACCTGAATGCAAAGATAGGAGTGTAGGAGGTTGCATATGGTCAGTACTGGTCTGCTGTATTCCCACAAAACAACAGACTGAGAGAGCTGTGTATTATAGGGGGTGGCTCTATTGCCTCCTGAATGAGATTTGTGTCTGCTGCCAAGAAATGAGCCCTTCCACTCATACCCACTGTGCAAGTAGGCTCAGTGTAAATCTATGAAGTAGATGTCTCAGCGTGGCCTCGACTATATCCCAACATCATGCTCAGACTCAGGTCATGTCAAGCTGTGTGCTCCATGAATTTGCAGGTCTGGACACCCACAGGGCAGTCACAAGTGGAGGGGCTTATTTTGCCACAGGGTCTCATTCAGGAGACGGTGTAGACATACCCATATGCTCCATTATACTCACTGTGCTGGTGAAGACGTGATGCTATTATAACTGCAAGCATTACCTACCTCTCTTTTCCGTAGTGATCACTGTGGCTTCCAGGGGCTCCCCCCAGCCCTGTCTGGTCTTGGCAGAAGTCCGGAAGATATATGCTGACTCCGGGTTGAGATCCGTAGCAGTGAACTGCCGGACTGTTGAGCCAACTTCCACTGTGGTGAACTTGTTGGGGCTGCTGTTTGCCAGGCGATAAGCAATTTGATATCCTAAATTCATGGTAACAAATGTGGAATAGCAAAGGGAGAGAGGGAGGCTTAGGTTTGTTTTTCAATCTTTTAGTGGGGGGGAGGGGAGTGGAAATGCCAAGACTATTAGTGCATCTTAATTAATTACTAATTTGAAAGCAGAACAAAGAAATTTGCTTCTTTTTGTGTTTACTAGCTGAGTTTTACAACAACTCCACCCCCAGTCAGATGCCGTACATTATCAGGGAAATTACACACACGGTGATGAATGGAAGGGCTTTCTCGGTAGTAATCCACCGGAAAACTTCTTTTACTTTTCATCCTTCATAAGAATGAGCTATGAACACAGATTCATCTTTCCTGAGCGTATTTGTACATTGAGAGAATGACAGAGGAACCAGGGTCTACACAATTGATTTCAACAAAGCAAGTCAGTTCAGGGAAACTAATTCTCTCTCGACACCAATCCCTACCTCAAACGCACACACTTCTGGCATGTGGAGCAGAGCCTGCTGATTGAGACTTCTTTAAAATACGGTGCATACAGATTATTCAGGCAGTTTAACAGTCACATCACTCATGCAGTTAATTCTTGCAACCGCTGCTTGCAGTCATCCTTTCCTGTCCACCTGTAGATCCACAGTTAATGCTCGAGCTGACATAGTGCCTTTTTTTTAACAGTAAAAATGAAATTGTAGCCATGATGGTCCAGAAATTAAGCAAAAGGCAACGATTTCTTAGGGTGATATCTTTTATTGGACCAACTACGTGGCCGGGATAATGTTAGACAAGCTTTCAAATGTAAGACCTGAAGTGAGACCGGAGGAAGAATGTCTTGCATTCAAATGCTTGTCTAGCTCTATCCCAGCTACATAGTTGGTCCATTAAAAGATATCACCCTAAGAAATCCTTTGCTGCTTGCTTCTTTTTTTTTTTTTTTTTTTTTTAAATCATTCACTGTTCCTGCTCTTCTCTCCATTGCAGAAAACCGCAGGCTGCGAGGTCCTATTGGAACAATATCCTTTTGCCACTTAATAGTCAGTTTAGTAGAGAGCTCTGTAGACTCTAATCTCCATTCTAACCATCCCATAGTTATGAGTTTATAGTTTATCACACATTATTAATGATCCAACTGTGCAAACTAGCAGGTCCAGAGTTCTCACACGCCACAAAAGGAAACGGCCCCCCAAAGAGAAAATGCCAAATGTTCAAAACCATTCTGGAAATAAAGCAACTGCACCAGACTCTCTTCTGGAGCTCGTTGGCAACTTTCAGTCCAGCTGCTACACTCCAAAATCAATTGATACTAGAACTGGCAAGGTGCTTCGTTATGAAGCTGAATAAAGTCAGGACTGTTAAATGCTTTATGAAGTTGCACAGGAAAAGGCAGCAGCCAAAAAACCACCCTAAACAAAACAGCTGAATTCAGCCATGCCTGAGTTCTGCCAACCCTCTGCTCGTCTTTTGAACTACAAAGAGGTCTGCAGAGACACAAGACTCATTTTTTCCCTTGGACTTTATAACCCAATGATTGTTTGAACTCCCACCAAACCTTGGCTATATAAAGAGCAGAGGGAGCCAAATATGGAGCGTTTCATATGCGAAGGTCAGCTCCTGGAAAATGAAGGACGTTGGCCTAACTGGACATTGGGAAATACTGATGGAAAATAATTCCCACTGAGAAACTACACTGATCCTCATAATCGTGCTAGCAGAAGAAGGCAATGAGCAGAGAGTTCACATGCCTTTTCTGGGTAAACTATTTGTGTATGCATGTGTATTCTCCCGTGAACAGTAGAATTTAATTGGGATACAGATGGTGTTAATTGTGTGTGGTGGTGCTAATGAATGGCTCTCTTCTCCTTAAATTTCCTTGTCTTTTTTTTCTTTGGAGGCAATAAGGGAAGTGGTGGTGAAAGTTAATGGTGGGGAATTGAAAACTAATACCCTATGGTGCTGTGAGCCAAGGTTTGTGGCTACACCCACACTTGGGTAGGAAGGCCATTCTTCACTGGTATTCAAGTGATATTCAAATGATCTCAGCCCATGCTGAAGCAATGCAGCTGCAGATGACAGATTGGAAAGCCAATATTTTCAAGCTTAAGTTAGGCATCTCAATAAGCAATGACATTTTCACAGCACCCATAGCTCCAGCTGCCATCACAAGGAGTGATGTGAGTACATGGCACATCTTCATACTGAACATTCACATTGAGCATCTAGGTGACTAAATATAGATTTAACCTTGATTTGCCAACCCAGTTTTGAAAATTTTGGCCCTAGACTAGAGAATAACCTGAATGATAAGGGTATTTTGTTGGGGAATGTTTAATGAGCATGGGGCTCTGTACTGCCACGGTTAAACTGCCTTTGGTACCTAAAGCTAGCCTGAGTACCTTTACGCTACAGTTGGCAACGTGTATATACTCTTATACTAACTTTTTCACAGCTCACTGGCTAACATTAGGTACTTAACTAAGATTTTCAAAGGCTGCGAACACTCACAGCTCCTAGTGGAGTATATCAGGATGCAGCCAACTGTGAACATTTTAGCTGTACATGTTTCAGAAAAGCACATGTAATCTAGTGCCTTCTTTACCTCCATGTCAGCTCTCCCAGACATTCATTTTAGACTCATCACTGTGGGACTTCTGCAACTTTAACAGTACAGAACTTAATTCCCAAGATCGCCTTGGAGAGGAGGAAGGCATGTATTAAAGGCTTTTCTGCTTATGTACGTACGCAGAAAACAGAACTGAGAATAAAGGCATGGGCTCACCCTACCTCCCCTCACCTGCAAAAGAAAAAATAAAGGAGAGGAATTGCATTGAAGGAAATTATACAACAGCAGGAGAAGTGCAGGAAGAGGCACTTGAGACAGCTAGAGAAGCATGATAAGAGAAGATAAGACCAAATAAAGGAGAAAGAGCAAAGCCTGGAGGGAAACGTGGAATATTAAGAGAAAGGAAAACTTAATCTACATCCTTGCTAAAGGGTAAATATGTTATCAAGGGCAAAATCACTGTTGGTCACTCTCCTCATCGTCTAATACCCTTTAACTATAAAATATACTTGGAAATATAAGAAGTTAATATAAGGAAAAAAATGCATTGCTAATGGCAACACTCAAGTCTAACTATAAAAAGATGTACAAATTAGTCAACAAAAAACATCTAAATACAGGGATCATAACAACAGGCTGTGTAGCATGAATTCTCACTATCTTTCAGTGCTTCTAGGCAACCTGAAAAATGTACCAGCCATCATCGCTCTCATTAGTCTGTCGTATTTGCTGTGCTAGCTGATGATCAGGAAAACTATCTTCCTTCCCTTTCTTTATTTTTGGTGGTGCAACTGAAGTCTCAATGTTATCTCTTGGATGCCTTCTTGCCATCCTCTTGCTCTTAGCTCCCAGACGACTGACAGATATTTGGAACCTGCCCCTCAGTCCCTTGGGTCACTTGCTCCTATCATTATCCTTGGATGATTCAGGCATCCAAGACATGCTATCATAAAGAGCAATTCTTGTCTTGTTTTTGACTAACACTGTAGATATGACCAACAGGGTGCGGAGACAGGAGTATTTAAGCTATGGTCTAGGCTTAGTTAATAATTAAGGTTTAAGTGAGCTCAAAATGGTAAAATGACTAGGTTGCGAATTTTAGCAACAGAAGATGGAAGAATGCAGGAAGTGTTTGGTGAAATCAAACACGGTAAATCAATAGAGGTAAATGGGAAGAGTTCAAAGAGAAATTAATGTATGCTCCAGGGCTAGAAGAAGCAATGTAGCAATAAAAGTGATAGCAGTTAGAAAGGCTCTGTAGATGAACAGGAAAACTCAGAAGGCAACAAAGGATAAGAAAGTGTCATAGAAATCTCGCTCAGAGGAGAGCTGGAAAGATTATTGAATGAAGGCAGCAAAACTAGAAGGCAAACTTAAGAACAGGATAAAAATAAATTATGCCAACTGAGTCAGGTGCAGAGAAGGTCTGACTACAAGGGTGAATAGGAGAATAAAGAGACTCTCTCAACTTTCTTCAGCCTAGGAAAATGAGAGGGGATATGAATACATGAGGGAGGTGAACATCAGAAAGGGGAAAGAACTATTTAAGATAAGGGGCAACGATCACACAAGAGTAAATGGGTATAAGCTGACCATGAATATATTTAGGTTGGAAACTGGAAGCAGATTTCTGACCAGCGGAGTAGCAAAACTCTGGAACAGCTTTCCAACAGGAACGGCAAGAGACAAAAACCACGACTGGTTTTACGACACAGCTTGATCGGCCTGTGATGTAGTTGCCAGTGATAACAGGAATCACACTTGATGACCCAGAAGGATACTTCAAGTTCTATGTACTTGGATTATGATGGGAGAAAGACTTTTACAGATAAAAAAACAGAAGGTCACGAATGAAAGATTAAAAGCTTTAAGAGGTGGCTGGCCGAATTCTTCAGGAAGACGAATGTACTTTAGAGAGGGTGATTTCTTGATGAAGCACCAGGAGAACTGTGTAAGGTGCTGTGACCCCTTCTCTACTCCTCTCCCATACTGTATAGGATCCAGCACCCATTCCTTTCCACTGATTTCAGTGGCCTTTGGATCAGGCCCATGGCACATCAAACGAGTAGATGACTTCTTTAGGACCTCATCGTTTAATTAAAATGGTGCTTGTTTGTGCCTTAGCATCTTTTGATTTGATTTTTTTTTTTTTTTTTTTGCAAGCAGTCTCACAGGCCTGCATTTTCTGAACTGAATAAAAGGCAGCCCGTTAAGATGCCTGTTAAATGTTAGGTCATTGTAACACAATGACTTGATTCCCCAAAAGGAACAGGCAGGAGGACGATGACACACAATGAATACTAAAGGAGCTTTCAGGCGCATCACAATACACGGCCCTTCAGAACTGACCTCGCTGGCCCATGTGGCTATGGTACATCATAAAGACAAACACTTATTAATATGTCACCCAAGTTAGGAAAGGCTGAATGATATTGGGAGGTTACAGCCTGCCCGGTGCAGCCACAATCCAAGTGTGGTGATTTTACCGCATATCTGTTTAAGGGCTGCAGGGCGGGGGAAGGGGGTAGCATGTGCGCAAATGCAGCTTAGGAACAAAATACAAATTTGCAAACATGGGATTACATCCAATTCTGCGTCTAATTCCCAGTGAAATTCTCACAGAGTTTTGCAATAAGCTTCAGGTAAATGTTAGGCACAAGGGTACCACGAGGAATACTAACCAGGAACTGGAAGGGTGCCGAATGAGTTCTCGTTCCCCAGGAACGCTCGCAGCGAGGAACAGCACATGCCCATAGTAATGCATCACTTTATTTTAATAGCATTTAAAGAAACTGCATGGGTTGGTACGTGGATCACAGCAAGGAAGGTAGAGAAGGGACTCAGGTGGTGAATGAAATGCTCCCAAAAGGGGAGTTGGAACTATCTACCAGGTCTCCACAGTAAAATATTTAAACACACAAACAAGTAGTCCTCCCTCTAGGTACCTGCCAGTGTTTCATGCTGCTAATCTCTCTCCGAAATGCTAGAACATGTTTTTGATATAGATTATAAAATCGCTAGCTGCAAAGGTGCTCGCATACTCAGAGGGCAAAACTAGCAGAGCAGGAACATTGATTCAAAGGCTTGGGATCTAAATTTACTCTTGCAAAAAGGTATTTTCTTATTCCAGCCTCACTAGTGGGCAACAGGGCAACCTCCAGAATTACATTAACCTGTTTTCGCCAACATTTCCAGTTCAATACATTTGGCTGTGGTGGGTACAAATGCATTCTGAACATTCATTGACGTAATGCGATTTAAAAAGGCAATACAGGAAAAAGAGCTAAACTTGTAACCTTCATTTC